TGCACACACATACACACACACACACACACACAGACAACCCCTCGACAATATGCGTTTTTGCATTGCATAGATGCAAAAAACGCATAAAAACAACATGCCAGTCCCGCACATAAGCGATGCCCCACTTTACAACATAAAAATTATTACCATGTTCGGCATGATCACAGGCACACCACACCAAAATCGAACATAACATACCAGGGTATGCGCAGTTTACAGTCCCCTCGGGGTCAGCTACACCCCCCACCCCTTCCTACTCCACGCCCAAATCCTCCCTCTGCATAAGCCCGGCTTTTAGTCATAGAGCTCATTCTCCGCTTCGCTCGGGCTGAGTGGCGGGGGCGAGTTCTGTGACTCCCCTGCCCTCAGCTCTCACACCCCTTCCCCCTTTTATTTTATTTTATTTCTGATGAGTCCCCTCCTCCCTCCTCCCCTAGGTTAAGCGGTTAGTTAGGAGCTGGAAGCAGGAGTTAGGCAGCGCTTTAGGTGAGACCAGGGTATCAAAAGGTATACGCGGGTGGGAAGACGTTGCTTAGAGTATCTGTGATTATTATTAAAATATATCATATAGATTCTGGTGAGATTAACTGACTAAGGAACTAGGCTATGGGGACATTGTACAACTGCCGTTGATTGTTATGTACATATATGTAGATTTAGATATTGTATATAGTCTTATTAGTGTTATCGCTGCTTTTTTGTGTTGATTGTAATATTTTGGTTTAATAACCCAAATTTGAGGTGAATAAAGAGAGAGTTGTGCGCGAGGATCTTAATTCACCGCAAGAGTGTCAAAGTACTGTCTTCGAGGCCCCCGGGAATTCGGTCGTCGCCTCTACCGTCGTCAGGTGTACGCTAAGCGTCGTTCTTCATGCGCAAACGCTGCTACTCCAGTTTCAAATTTACTGAAGCTAGAAAGCTGAAGTCTTAAGGGGACGTTTCCCGCCCAAGTAGGTATTAATGAGCTCAAACTCATCCCTCGGGTATGCGTGGTACCCACGTACGGGCCCGCCAAATTTTTTTTTCGAGTAAGTTGACAACTCAGGGATCTGAGAAGCTAGAAAGCTGAAATTTTAAAGGGAAGTTTCCCATCCAAGTAGGTATTAATGGGCTCAAACCCAGCTCCCGCGTAGGGGTGGTATTTACGTACGGGCTAGTGAAATTTTTTTTGAGTAAGTTGCTAATCAGAAGCCAGGAAAGCTTGAAAGCTAAAATTTTAAGGGGTGTTTCCTGACTGACGGCCAGTTTCAATTTGTTTAGCTAGAAGTATTTGCCGGGAAAACCGATGCCGGTGGCGGCAAGAGCTGTGGGGAACTATGCAAAAAGCGCATCTTCGCACGGGCAGCCCATGCGTTGGCCAATTATTATGAAACTGATGCTTAGGTGAAGCTGTTCCAGAAAAACCCGTCATTAGGCTTCTTTATTTGTGAAATTGATGCTTAGATAAAGTTGCTCTACAAAAAGCACTATTTATGAAACTGATGCTTAGGTAAAGTTGTTCCACAAAAACCCGTCATTACGCTTCTTTATTTATGAAATTGATGCTTAGGAAAAGTTGTTCCACAAAAAGCCCCATTTATGAAACTGATGCTTAGGTAAAGCTGTGAGCGAATACTTTCCATGAAGTGGGCAAAAACAGGGTAGAATGGATGTCTGGGGATGAAGTCAGCCTCTGCTTTTGTGAGATTTTGATGAAAAAAAACAAAGGTTGTGCACAGTTGTAGGTTGCAAGAGGCAGCACTGTGAAAGTGTTTGCAATTCCTGTGTAATCCAATTGGACTTATTTACCCTCAGCTTCACCTAAGCATAAGCTTTAGTAAATCCTATCGAACTTATTTGCCCTCAACTTCACCTAAGCATAAGTTTCAGTAAGTGCTGTCGAAATTATTTGCCTCCCGCTTAACCTAATTATTAGCTTCAGTAAATCCTGTCAAACTTATTTGCCCTCAGCTTCACCTAAGCATAAGTTTCAGTAAATGAATTCCTTTTATTCACAAATTCATGTTTGTTTTAATTTACTTTTCTTTGTGGCATGTTGGTTTATTTTTCTTTTTACTATCTGCAGTTCTTGCTTCGAACTCCTGACTAACGCCTTTCTTTCCCTCCTGTATCCTCTCCCCAACTCCTACCTCCAGAGCCACATCTGGGCACCCACCACCTCCAATCACTGTCACCGCTTATCGTTCTGAACTCCTAACCAGTAACTTCATTCCTCCTCACTATCCTGGCCCAATTGATTTGTACGTTCGAACTGGAAGACCAACTGTCGCTTTTGCGTGTTAACAGAAGACAACGATTTTATTCATCTCAAATTTGGGTTATTAAACAATGTTGCA